CAACTAATCACTTAAACAATTAAAAAAAAATTTAATTAAAACAAATAAGTAAATATCTTGACTATCCTTTTAAAATTAGGGGTATTATATAATCCATCATTAAAGAACACATTTGAGCCCTCTTGAGCCATTGCACCGAACCTTGAAATATTTTTTTTTTCTTTTTTATTTTTTTTGACTAAAACACAAATTGTGAGGCATTTGCTGCTGCTATTGATTTATTATTATTGTTTTTTTCCCCAGAAATTAAGCAGGCTATTGGTTGTCATACAACAAGTAATTCTCTTTTCTTCCACCAAATCCCTCACTGTACATCAAAGAAGGAAAGACACACAAATGCCTTCAGGCTATGACAAACTACATCCCAGTAATGTACAATGGTAATTAGCATAAATGAGTCATTCAAGGAAAAAGTGACAATTGTAATTTGTACTCTCTTAACAGGGAAAATATCAAACCTTTGCCAATTCGTACACCATTTCAACAAGACCAAACTTGAGATGTTAAGACAATTTTTTCAATCTAAACGCATGTAAAAAAAAAAAATGAATACATCAAATATGTGTGAAAATGTTAAGACAATTTTTTCAGACACACACACAAATACGCACACAGAGCATAAGCTTTAAGTCACTAGTTCAAAGAGAATGAAAGAAAATAATATAATAATGATAATAGATATGCACATCTGCTGCTTGTATTCTTCATCGACGACGTCTTCGATCCGTCGCCAATCAAAATCCTTGAGGGGAGAAGAACTTGCCTTGGGCTGTGGTGATTACAGTCGCGAATCAATTGCGACTTGGCTTTAGAGAAAGCTACCCGGAGAGAGGCGATAAGGGTCCGAGAGAGAGTTTAGCGAGAGAAATGGGTTTGCGGAAAGACAAAGTTTAGAGAGAGAAATGGGTTTGCAGAGAGAGAAAATGAGAGTTTAGAGAGAGAAATGGTTTGAACAGAGGGAGAGTGTTTGGTTAGATAGATAGTATGTAGCCAAACATGATTATTGGAGGGTAATTTGGGCATTAAAATTTATTTTTTTGCTAATGTCGGTAAAAAGTGTCTCTGACCAGCTTTAACTGTTGTGTGTCAGAAAAAGTAAAGGGTCTGACTAAATTTTTACAAATGTAGGGAGTCTCCTTGAAGATTGGACAAATCACATGGGGTGTAACTAAAGTTAACCCTTTTTTTTTTTTCTTTTTTTTTTGTATCATTCCAATTTTATCAAATTCGTTCCAAAAAATTTACTTGTCATGTTTTTTTTTGGTTTTTCAACCGATGTTGCTTTAAGCCTTTGACTACATGATCCTGAGAAACTATTAATTTGTCTAGACTCCTGAATTATATTATTATGCCAATCACAATTTAATAAGCAATAACTTAATATGTCAATTTCATTTAATTTTTTTCTACTATATGTTAATTTGTTATTGGTTGGACCATTTAATAAGGGTAATTTACACGGACCTCTACTATGGTTTGCTATAATTACACGAACCTCTTTTGTGGTTTGGAAATTTACTCGGACCTCCCCTAAAAATAAAAATATCTTACACGGACCTCCCTACTATTAGAGTCAATATTAGTCATGGACGAAATGTGCTGACATTATGTACAAAATTTATTAAAATCCCTATAATACCCATGTCCCTACCATATATATATATATATATAAACCTTGAAGCATTGTGATTCATCTACCTAAACAGCTGAAAATCTTCAGTTAGCGATGAATCGACCAGAGAAGCATTGTTATTCATCTATCTAAATAGCCGGAGAAGCTTTATTCGTGAAAAACAAGTGAGACCCAAAAGTTGCAGCAACCAAATCATAGAAACTCGCATCTACAGAACCGGCGAAGATACAAACCTTCGGACTAACCTAACGAAAACCCATTTTGACCAAAGTTGCGTTAAAAACAATTGATTCCTCTATTGATTCTGGAGAAGCCCATACCAAATTACGGTGTGTATATCACTGTTTATCCACTCTCGTTCCTTCGTTCTTCAACGTCGTTTGCTCCACCTCGTCTCGATCTTTTATGAAATTAGCCAGTTTCGAGCAATGATGTTGAAATTCAAGAAATAGAAATTCAAGTTTCAATTTAGGGATTGGGTATGTACTGTAACTCACTGGATTAGGGTCTTCAATAACGTTCCAGTGATTAATCTGGACTAAAATTCACCGGTCGGTTGGTCATTGTTCTAAACCTTTTCCGATTTGGGTCTCTGAAATTCTCAAGTGAGGATTGTCTCTTTTAGCAGCGACCCTTATATCTTAGATTATGCCTGTCGTTACCTTGTTCTCCTTCAAGTTTCCCGCGACGACCTGGTATCTCCCATAGACGGCGACCTAATGGTCGGTGTCCTCATTAGCTTTCTGGGTTGCTACTATAGCAAATATAACGCCTCTGCTATGTTTATCGTCCACAAAACTTGTAAATCTAGCCACCCCGCCATCAACCGGACCCAAGCCCAATTAGACCACATCATCAATGCCTTTGATGACTTCAAACAACACGACGGATGCGCCTTCATTCAGCCTCTCACCGCCATCTCCACCATGGACATTTGTAATACATATTATAATTTAGGTATATATATATATATATATATATATATATATATATATTATAGATGGATACTTTAGTAATTTACTATAACAATATAAGGGCATTTAAGTAAATTAGACAGGTCCGTTAGTGCATTTAACGGCCCGTCACAAGGAAAGGAGGTCCGTGTAGGTTAGTTTCATTTTTTTGGGAAGTTCATATAAATTTTCAAATTACATGAGAGGTCCGTATAATTATTACAAAACATAGAAGAGGTTCGTATAAATTACTCCATTTAATGATTATCATTTCTTACATGACCACCAATAATTTATATGATAAAACCTTCCTTGTTTGCATTTTTGGGTTGGGCTTCTCCTTGGGTTTTGCTCTTGTGGGCTTGTTGCCAGTTTCTGACCTGGTTTGGTCCAAGGCCCTATTTGTATTCTTCTTTTATTAATATATATTTGTTTAATCCTTCGAGAGAAAAAAAAAATATATCTTAAAATAAAAGATGAAGGTAATAGTATTTTTATTTATTATTAATTTGCATCATATCAAATACTTATTTATAAAATTACTCATTTTCAAATATCACTATCATTTATTTGATTTAAACTTCATAAAATCTTATCACAATATAACTTTGAGAAGAAAAAAAAAACAAAGGTTAACTCTCGTCATCTTGTGTTTGTTGATTTGATTAAAAGAAAAAATTGAGGCTCCATTTGTTTTGATGTAATATATATTTTAAAAAATATTTTTATTTTTTATTTTTTCTGTGTTTGGTTATCATAAAATATTTACGAAATATACTCCCTCCGTCCCAAAATAAGTGTCATACTTTTCTTTTTTTATCTGTCCCAAAATAATAGTCCACTTTCCCTTTCAAACAATATATTTCACTTTTTTCTATATATGTCATTTGAGTTTCAAATTTCAAAATTTAATATTCAAAACTTAAAAGGGTAAGTTAGTTATTTTTCAGACAGACAATGCATATCCCACGTGTCCCTTTAAAAATTACTACTCTCCGTAAGTGACACTTAAATTGGGACGGAGCGAGTATTAAAATTTAACAAAAATAACTTACTCATAAATTTTTGACAAATTATTTTACACGCTCGATAGATTTAAGATCAATTACAACCACCTGCACCTTTGTCAAAAAAAATAAAATAATTAAAAAATTACCTCAAAACAAATTTGTATGAGATGCACTAGAAATGGTATGAGATCAAAACTAGAGAAAATATTTTTAATTGTCAATTGGACGTCACTATCAAATGTGCATATTTTAATACGGCTGTTGTCGTGGTCAAGACTTTCGCTGCATTGGCCTTAATAGGCGACTAATTTAAAGTGTAAACATCAACTAATTATAGCTGGCCTTCCAGAATAATGGCTAAGAAGCGTAAATAGAGAGATAGAGCACCCAAATTTCAAATACTAGATTTTTTAGCTTTTTCATCAATGGTTTACAGTCGTGTTATCATTCGTGATCGTGGTGTAACAAATTTAAACGAATATCAATATAAACCGGTAAAATTCATCAATTTATGCAAATATATAATGGTATTGAACCCTTAAAAAATAGTTACAACTAATACAGGAAACAACTATTTATTAATGAGGTGTGCTAGCGATTGTCAACCATATGTGGCATTCAATAATTGGGTAAAAATCAATTATAACATTAATTTTCAACCAATCAGACTAAGTGTGACACTGAGAATATAAATATAATTAGAGATGTTGTGATGGTTGATGTTAGTCTAGTCAAAATTTTCAAGTGAAACTAAATCCAAAACTATACTAAATTTAACATAAATTTAAAAATCCAAAGCTAATTAGCCAATAATTGCAGTTATTAGTTTTGTATATCATGATTGGGCTTACCCCGTGTTAGGCCGCTTATTGGGCTTTGTTTTCCCTTTATTTGGGTTGTTTTCGGCCAATTGGCCCACCTTATGTAATTATCTTTAAATTTATATCATTTGCTTAAAATTCTAAAAAAAAAAAACATACATATAAAAAACGAAGCCCTAGATTTGCTATGGCAATAGGCAGGGAGGTTTGAGACAGATAGCCCCTCGCCCAGCTCTAATGAAGAAAATGTCTTCTGTACCCTTTCTCAAACTAGCTAGTTACTAATATAAAATGTGAATCCATCTATGTTTATGAGTTCTAGATTCTATACTACTAATAAATAATTAAATTTCTAGTATTGAATTTTAAAATATGAATATATATTTAAAATATGAATATTTTATTACTTATAACTTCAGTTTGTCTCAATTAAATAAAGGAACAATTCTCGTTGTCCCATCCTAATATTGAGGTGGGACCTACTTCCAAGTTGATTAGTTGGTGCGTCTCGTGGACCCGAAGCAGACTTAATAGAGGTGGAGGAAACGTGGCATGTCAATCACCTATTGCTCTAGAAGCCAGAATCATTCAAATAGAAACAGCCGCACTTGTTCAATTTAAGAACCCAGTTTCATATTCTAAATCTTCTCAAACACTGATGCTAGCTTGGAAACCTTCTTGAGTTCCTTTTATTCTCTTCATATATATATATATAGATATATATTCTGAAAACGGAAAAAAGACATGTCCAAGCGTTTTGAGCTCATTGTCTTGCTCTTGGTGTTTGTTGTCACATCTCAACATGCAATCAGTGTCGAACAACCCATCAGGCCTATAATACTCCAACAATATCCACAAAGTAAGTATTCTAGATCTATCTATATTATGGAATTAAAAGTCTGATTAAACATTAGTTGATTGTGAATTTAAATCAATGATATATATATAAAGTCATTTTGTGATTTGAATTTGATTATATATAGGGTATCCGAAGATTTTTGCTACTCTCGGAATGGTTTGCAAGTGTTGCGATGGTGATAGAGGAGAATGCGAAAGCGCATGGGAAGGGCGTTGCTCTAAGCTCCAATGTCTTCCATGGAAATATGATTGATTCGTATCATACAAAATTTAGAATTTGTACTCTGGCTGTTTATATATATATATATGGATCAATTTTTAATGGTCATGTGTGATATTTTAAAGTGAAGCTGGTCACTTGATGTCTCCTCCAATGCAAATAGAATTTAGTGATTGGTATGTTGTTGCCCTCGACAATGGGATAGAGTTTGGATTACGCTATCTCATATCATATGCATATATGGTGTGCTTCTCTTAAAGCAAGGGTATCAAAATTTCTCTAATAGTGCTATGTTTAGTCGAATTCAAATTCGAATTGGAATTGGAGTTTGAGATTAAAATTTAAATTAAATTTTTTTAAATTATAAATTCAAGACATACTGTTAAACTGAGAGATTTATAGAATATTTATATTTTCTAATACATCCCTCCCAAATTCTTTGAATGGGCGTATCAATTTATGTAAATTATCAAGATAGTAGAAGAAGTTGGGGTTTGTGAGTTTATTTTTATGAAAATTATATATAAAGCAAACCGATAATATTCATATCTTTTAAAACTTTTTACATATCTATTTGTGTCCTATATAAAAATAAAAATAAAAATGGAGAGCAAACAAAAATTAAAAGAATCAATTTGTTTTTAGATTAACGATTTCACAGACACCCTTTCTTAGATTTTCATATGTAATTTCTCTAGCCTCCTCTTTGAGGATAAAAAAAGTATATTATTGAGCCAGAAGCTCTTTGGGAATCCATATTAGTTGATTTATATATATATGTATATTTTTTTCTCTTGATCAAATATTTAAGGTGTATAGTTACAGTAATTAATAAAATAGGACGTAACAAAGAAGTGAGGTTGGTCCACCAACCGAAATTCTAAAGGTATGGCACCCATTGTCAACTGAATTTAAGACCTATATTTCTAGTGCAAATCAGACTTTGTCAACTATCCTTTAGGACCTATATTTATTGAAAACACTCTTTTAATTTATGGCAGTTGCTTAAATTTTTGGAAAAAAAACCTATCCTTTAAGACCTAACAAACTTTGAAACGTGAAAACTACATGGCAAGTTGGCTTGATAAGGATTCTGATTCTAGACCCCTTACTTGAGTTGAGAAATTAATTGGTTGATAAACAAGTTATATAAAAACTTTATCATTTTGGTTATGTAATAGTGACGAGAAATTTTGATTTGGGCAAATTAATTTTGAAAATTGGATTAGTCAATTATAATATAATTTTCCTTGTAATAGCATTCTTTAGCTATGAGGAAATAAAATCCAAAATATGAGAAAAAGTACCACCAAAATAAGTAGAGATATTTATCAAAATCTATGGTGGGTTCACTTTTCAAAAAATTGTAATTTTTTGAAAATTCAGTTATAACACTTTTTTGAAAACTCAATTATATAAATGTTTATTTTCAAATAACTATAAAATACTGATGTCTGATAATAATTTTCTGTTCTCTAAATTTTTTAAAACTATTTTCAGAATTACAAATCAAACAAACATTTCAATTTTTTGAAAATTGTTTTCTAAAATCTCAATTATGAAAAAAAAAAATCTGTTTTCATATAATTGTTTTTTATAACTCTCTTAAAACAATTTTTTTTTTTCTAAATTTTTTAAAACTATTTTTAAAATTACAAACCAAGTAAATCCATACATTTTTTTAGCTAACAAATTCTTTGCAAGAGGATAAAGAGTTAAATTCTCCTTTGAGAGAACAAGAATTTTAATTTATTTATCGATCACCTGGTCTCTCTTTCTCTGTTTTCGGAATCAACCAGCGGGAAAGAACAACAGCTGGCTGTTAATATCTAGGACGTTGATTGCTTTGCAATGGCATGGTACGTATCTTCTTCTCTGATTTTCCTTTCTTTTCTTTTTGTATGAGAGGAATGTATAACTAAAGTTTTTGTCTGGCGATTCAGATAAGACCATATCCGAATAAGCTCAAGTGGGATTGAGATCGAGACAACTTTATCCATCTATCTTCATGTTCAAGTGGGACAATTAAAATATATATATATATATATCCATGTGGGCTCCAAGATACTCATGCATGAATCAAAGATTAGAAATAGGTACAACGAAAAGGATGTTAATATCCATTGTGGATACTAGTGGTATCAAATATTTTTAACATGTCCACTTGCCTTCAACTCACGATGAACCTATTATGTCTCTAGAGATAGAAAGTGAATACATAGAGTCGTAGAGAGAGAGTGTGTGTGTGTGATATGTAGGATGGATGCCAGGTTAGATTTCTTTGGGTCCTATAAATAGCAGTCACACTTCCATTTTCTTCATATCCTACCAACTTCACAGGGTCTCTGTGTTCTTTAGCCCTTACTCCGTTCTTAGTCTGTTTGGGTGGTTCGTTAATTGGCTGACAAATTAAGAAAGCAAAGTAAGTGACAGTTATGGAGAACACAAATCGAGTGGTTGGTTCATCTTCGTCCTTTACTTTGGATCTCTTTGGTCCCAAGGAGCCTTCATCGTCCTCTGAACTATTTGGCTCTGTTTTTGGACCGCCATCCATGGTATTTTCATCCTACAATATTTAATATTTGTGCTCTATGAAATTTTTGTACTTATCTGTTTTTTTCTTTTCTCAAAAAAAGTCATGGTTAGTAGTATCATAGTTCAGTTTTCTCGATTTTTTTTTTCTTTTTAAGGGGGCAGGGAAGCACTCCTCACATGCTGGAATTGTGGAACCATTGAGGAAACAGGACCTCGGAATCCAATATGGCAATGCAAAACATGGAACTCCAGGTTTGAGAACATTTCCTCTAGCAACTTGTCATCCCTATACTCTATACCTTTCGGGGGAAAAAAATGAAAAAAAAAAAAAAAAAAAAATTCATAACCAAGATTAAACTTTAACATAGAGAATGATTCGCCGAATCGTCTAATGAGCGACGTAATGACCGATACGCTACCCTTTTTCAAGTTTTATTCATGAATCATATCAGTCAGTTTATATTGGCTTTGTCCGAGTCCGTTATACCGCGACCATAACCGATACTGCAAACCATGCATAGAGTCCTGGACTATTTCTTATATCAAATTAACAATTTCCTTGTCCCTATTTTTGGAACCATTTTAAGAGGTTCCATGAATTTTAACTTTTTTTTTTTCTTAGAAGAGAATGTATAGGATGTTTTGAATTCACGAGCCAATTCTTGTGCAAAATTGTAGAATCATAACTTCTGCTTTTGCTAGTGTTATAAGACCTGTATTCGCCATTTTTAGGTAATATTACTGAAAAAAGCAAGGGTGAAAGCATTGCAAAACAAGACAGGAGGTCAATATATCATAATGATACAGTAGATTCATGCTATTTTAGTTCATCAATCTACTATGGTGGCCAAGAAACTTACTACCCAAATGGTCACAACACTGGTTCTCAACATATTGCGAGTATATATAGCCCTTGTTCATTAATTAACTTATACATATTTATTGGTTTTGATTAAATCAGAGATAATATAGGCCCTGTTTCTGATGTTGTAATGTTTGCTAACTTGATCAGTTCAGGAGAGAAGATTATCCAAATGGAAGCAATTTGAACGACGCCTCGAGAGGAGATTGGTGGCAGGGTATGATTGTTGTGGACTTGCATAAAAAAAATTAAAAATAAAAAAATAAAAAATAAAAACCCATATTTCTGATAACTTCAACCATATAATTAATTTCTGTTTTTGCAGGATCTCTCTACTACTAAGCCCTTGCCTCTGTCATGCAAATTATACATCCACTCATCATGGTAATTTAGTGTATTTTCTTTTTTTTTCTTCCTTTTTTTTTTTAAATAATAATAATAATAATAATAACTTTGGGATCTTATATTTTCACTTTAACTGTTGGGTTTGAAATGTTATAAATTCAGATAATTTCAATGTTAATTGTTGAATATATGTGGTGCAGGGATGGTAATGCTACAATCTACTTTTGGATTTTGGAGCAAAAAGATGGTTACTATATTAAAGCTGAAAACAGCCAAGATTTTGCTGTATCTTTCATTTTTAAAAAATTTTGAACTCTGCAAGTGTATCTGGGCAAAGTCTTCTGTAGTGTCATCACTCTGCAGGAAAAAGAAATAAATAAACAACCTCTATTGGAACTTCTATTTTCCACTGCAGTAAACCAAAAACATAAAAAGGCGCCGTTGCCGGGGATCGAACCCGGGTCACCCGCGTGACAGGCGGGAATACTTACCACTATACTACAACGACTTCACTGTGAGTGGCCACCAATAATAAGAATTGCTAGCATTCAATCATCAAATTTGCTTCCAATACAATTACTAAAAAGATCAGGCTCTTCCAAACCTTAAAATAATACTCTGAATTGCTCAAAAGGACATTGATATAATATTATTTACCATATTCCTTTCAGCATGAAAGCAAGAAATTGTTAGTAGAGTTTGACCTAATTAATATCTATCTTTAAGTTCTTCATCCATGACATTCTTTTAGGGTCTGTTTGGTTAGCTTCAAGTAATCAAAAAAAAAAAAAAATATTTAAATTTTTTGAAAGTTTGGTCGGAGTGAAAGTGAAAGCTTTGGGGAAAGTAGGATTCCCGCATTCTGAAAATTTTCTTCAAAATTTTTCGTCTAGGAAAATTTATTTTCTCACAAAAGTTGTACACTTTATGTATTAGTTTCCTATTATACCATGTTAGTTGCCTCTCTTCTTCTTTTTTTTTTTTTTGTTTTTTTTCCTTGATGCATAACTCTTATTCTTTACTTAATTACATAGACTTTTTTGAAAAGGAGAGTTTCTTTCTTCTGTAAATTAATTTTTTATAAAATCATGTATTACTAATTTAATTGTTTGTCTTTTTTTATTTGTGCATCCAAAATTAATTAATTTTTTCCTTTTATTACTGATTTTTTTTTTTCTTTTTTTTTGAAAGGTCTTAAATAAGTAAAATATTTTTTTCCTATAATTAATAATGACTAAGAGCTATTATTTGTTGATAACAAGAGTGTTAAGTGAAAACTAGTCTATATTATCTTAACACAATTTGTTTCATACCTAACATCAAATATTATCTTGAAATAAATAATTGATGATTATTTAATAGTCTACATAATCAATCTACGACTTTATTTTCTAGTGAGAAAGTTGTAATTAGATATATAGTATCCAGTTATATCATTTACAAATAATTAATAAATAATAAAATTAAAACTAGCATAAAGAGAAAATTAATACTTGAACTTTGATTGTCCATTTTACCAAAAACTTATTTTTCTTACCTTAAAAAATAAAAGATCGGGAATTCAAGTTTACACATAAACAAGTGAATATATAGAAGGAGATAGCAGAAAGCAAAAAAAATTGTATTATGATATCACATACTATTCTATTTCATATTTCACTATTTTCTTACTAAAATAAATAATTAAATATAAATAATATTTATCAAACATAAATTTATTTATTTTTTTACTATTTAAAATTATAAGGGTATTTTCGGGTAGAATCATTTTCTTTTCCTTTTCATGTTATCTAAACTAATAAAATAATATTTTCTTACAACTTTCCTCTTGAAATATTTTTTGTTAATGAAATGCATGATAGAAACTTGATTTTTCTTTCTCTCACTTTCACTTTTTATAAAAAAAAATTGGTCTATCCGAAAAGACCCTTAGGATTCAAAAAAAAAAAAAAAATCTTTTCGGCATGAATGCTGTCAAAAACTGTGCCCTTAAGATGAGCCCGGTTCACATCAATATTTAGAGGTTGACCAGGATCGTTTTAGATGAAACTAGAACAAATGGTAGACTTAAAGAGAAATATTTAAGATGGATCCAAGATGGGCATTTGGTCTAGTGGCATGATTCTCGCTTAGGGTGCGAGAGGTCCCGAGTTCAATTCTCGGAATGCCCCCGCTTTTTGTTATTTTTTTATTTTATAGTGTTTCAAGTTGAATTTACCCATTCTGTTGCATCGTTTACTGGTAAGATTTGTTCAGATGGTTAGGTATTAGGTTTATCTGAGCCTTCAGGTCTCAAATTCTATATTATATGTGCATGTGTGTATATATATATATGAATGTATTGTTCCTAATTGTGAATTATTATTATTTTTGTTGTTGCAGGCAATATGATCTCCTTACTAGTTTTTTCTTGTCCCATATAAGTACAAACTTTAGAATAATAAAATGATCATATTTCTTCTTTATAGTTATAATGTCGAAAGTGATGATGTTCACCACTATACTACAACGACTTCAATGATGATGTTCTTCAATTTTACAAGCTGGTAGATTCAACGACTTGTAAGAATCTATATATGACAAAGGAAGAATCTGAATTTTTCAGTAGAATGGAATTTGATGCTTGGACAAAATAAAGGATAATAATCATATTACTACCATACCTTTTTAATTAGATTGAACATGAATGAAATAGTAATTTTTTCTTTCTAATTTTTGGGGGCAATTTCAAAATTATAAAAATATTATTTAACCCACTATTCTTTCCCTCCCTAACTTTTCATTTCTTGAGGGATAGCATTTGAGGGATAAGAGGATAGTTATCCCCTCTATTCTTTATTTTCTCGCCGTTTTACCTATTCAAACACATTTTTTCTTATCATTTCTTTTCTTTTCTTTTATTTCTTTATCCCTCCAAATTTTCAAATCCAAACAAACCTAAATGTTAGGGTCATTATACTCAAATTAATTTTTTCAGTTAACTAATACTCCTGATTGTAAATATTTGTAATTTATATTGCTACAATCATTAGTTCGCAATGGCTGATTGGAACAGTTTCACCTCATAAAAAAAAACATAAAATAAAAAACATTCTAAGTGAGATCATAAGAGTTTGAGCCTATCTTAGGACTATGATTTACAAACACACATCTCAGTCATCATTTTAAAAAAATTTAACTTCCTGTTACAATTTTATATGATTAATAATTGTTGATTCATTTCAAGTATTAAAATTCTCATTATTTTGTCATGAATATATATGTTGTATAAATTTTATTTTATTTCTAGTTTCTCAAACTCTCTCAAAGAATTGTATGCATGCAAAATTTGATTACTCCCCAAGAAAGAGAAGATAAGGAAAATTAAAGACAAAGTTGTAAGGCCCTTCTCCGGTTGCAAGAACTTGGTTTTGTAAATTATGGGGGCCAAAATCACTTTAATGTAATTTATTCTTTGTAAGATGTAAAGGGTCACAAGATAGTTCAAATTTCAAAATTTTGAAAATTGAAAGGAATATCTCAAAAAGACAAAATTGTAAGTTGTGACTTTATAAAACGATTATAGAGTTGAATCATATGAATGATGCTAAACTCTCGTACAAATAGGGATATAAGTTGGACGGGTTAGTCCAGCCTAACCCGTGATCAGGGATGAATCCAGAAAGTTATGTGAATGGGGGCAATCTTTAACAAGAAGAAATTTTTTGAAATGTGGATTTGTGGGGGCAATGGTTAATTTTTATAAGTATATATTTTAAAATATTTTTTTTACAAGGTGTATAATAAATAATAAAAAAATTCCAATGGGGGCAATTGTTGCCCCCACTGGACTATGAATGCATCCGTCCCAGCCCGTGATCAACCCAAAATCAGGCTAGTCATAAATAAAAATAAAAATAAAAAATAAAAAATCATATGACTAGCCTGATTTGTATATAAAAAAAAATTGTTTAATTTATAAGTATTTTTGTTATGATATTTAACTTTTTAATATTAATTTTGATCGCTTTCTTTGATATATTAATTAGTTTTACACTTCTTACAAATGCTATACAATTTAATTTATTTTTCTTATTTATTATTGATAAAATTATCATTTAGTGTGTAATTTTCATAAATTAGAAACTCAATTTAGAGATTTACAACTTACAAGTACTCCTAAGAATTAGAAAGAAAGACATATAATTATATAAATAATAGGGCAAAGGGCAAAAAACTCTCTAAACTGTTGTTCTTTTGCAAGTAACCCTCCCTGAACTACAAATTACGCCCGAACTATTAATTTGTTACAATTAAAGACAAACTCATTCCAAAAGACTACTTTACCCTTTCTCATTAAAATTTTCATTTCTTGTTAAAAAAAAATTTATTATCTTTTTTGTCTTATCTAAATTTTAGTTATATCATTTACCTTAATTTTATTATTAGTATCAATTTATTATAAATTGGAAATATATAAATAGATTTGTAACTACCATTTTTTAAAATTATTAACTTATTATTAAAACTTTACTATTTATAATAAAACTTAATATACTTAGTTTAAACTCTTTTACTTTGAAAAAATATATTATTTTTCATACAATATATAATATATTCATGAAAATTTAATATATTACTTAAATAAAAATTACCTTATTTTTTATGCAATATATTCATGAAAAATTAATAAATTACTTTAATTATTTTAAAATTTTCTTCTTAAGATTTTTATTTAAACAGTTAATTAAAAAATTTAAAAGTAAATTTATTCAAATTTAATGGAGAATATGTCATCAAATTAATATGAATTTTTTTTTTTATAATTTATTTCAATAAGAAAATTTATATTAAGTGTAATTTAATAAGAAATGACATTATGGTCATTTAATAAAAAAATAGTTAAAGTATTAAAACGTTTGAAATTAAATATGATAGTTCACGAGATATTATGTTCAAAATATAATTTAATGGAATTATTTATAAATTTGAACATAATTTAACGGAAACTCTTGCACTTTCCCGAAATAATACCGTACTTTTTATTATTTATTTATTTATTTTTGTTAAAGTTAATAATAGTGGAAGTTGAAACATAGAAGTGATATGTTTAATTGGCTCAAATTATGGCGGGAAATGTGGGTTTGGGATCCTCGTGGGTAACAGCTGCCAAAAAGAAAATCGACAGTTGAGTTCAAATGTCCAACGATAAGGGAGGAAAAATAAAGGACATCATAAACAACAAAATATATTAATGTTGGAAAACGACAGTTGAGTTTGGTCTCCACCCTTTCGGCGGGAAAATGAAAGGTTTCCGCGGGAATGCAAATCAAAAGCATTCTCACTGCTATTCTCTGTGGATTGATAGGGAGAAGACTTTAAAATAAGGCCAATGCAAGAAATTTCTTCACACCCAAGCCGGC